TGGATATCGCATATATGAGAGAGAATCGGTGTTGGAGCTTAGAGGGACCGCACCATTTATCAGTCCAGAATTTAATTTTATTGCCTCTGCCAACAGCCTAGGTTGAGCAATCGAAGACCAAGTTGCTAATATTAGTGATGCCTCTCCAAAGGCTTTTATCAAAACTGTTTGAGCCACCTCTGTACTGTAAACACTTGCCACAGATGTTCCACTTGCAGTCGACAATTCTTTTCGACAAATTATCACCCTCAGTCTAGAATCTCCAAATCTATTTGCCATGAAGGGCTTTATTCATAGTGGTGAGAGACCTAAGACCAAGCCACCCATGTTTTTTGGACAATTTCACATCGTCCCAATTAACAAGATGAAATTTTCTTCTGTTATCTTCACTGCCCCCGCTGAATTTTTTCCAGCCTACTAGCAACATTGACCGACATGGTGAGGACAAAGAGGTAGCAAGTTGGGAGGTTCGAGAGTGTACTTTTTATAAGGGTTAGTCCCCCACCTTTGGAGAGGAAGTTCCTCTTCCAATTTGCAAGCCTTTTTTCTCAAAGAGATATTAAAGTTAGGTACTAATCCTAAATAGCCTATATATGTTCTAAATAGTCCATATAATGTAAGAATGTATAAAAATCATATAGTTACTATAAAAATACGAACTAATGCTGAAAATCTTCAACTTTGTTTGTTCTCATTTCGCATCAGCTTCCCGTTGCTAGTTCGTGAAAGCTAGAACGAAATCATTTAGGTTATATGCACAAAGTTAAGAATGATAGATAAAATAATTTCATGAAATGTGAGGGGTTTTAACGATATAAAGAAGAGAGATATTGTAAAAGGGTGCTTGAAAAGATGGAAACTGGGTGTGGTGTGCCTTCAAGAAACTAAGATGAAGTCTTTATCCTTGAGAGAGGAGAGAAGTGTGCGGGAGGTGAAGGAGTTGGGTTGGTACTTTCTCCCTGCGAGGCGTACTGCGGGAGGGATTATTATGATGTGGAGAGAGAATAGGGTGAAGTGTAAGGAGGTTCTGGTAAAGGAGGTGTCTATTTCCTGCAATTCTGAAAATTCTGTAGGAGGGAAAGAATGGGTGTATATTGGTGTATATTGTAGGGATCGAGAGAGGAGAGGGGTAAGCTGTGGGGGGAGTTAGAGGAATGTAAGATGAAATAGGGGTATAAATGGGTTGTGGGTGAGGATTTCAATATGGTGTTAAGGAGTAGGGATAGGTCGGGGGAGCAGTTTTCTGTAGCATGTGCTGAGGAATTCAAAGAAACACTTGATAAGATGGAGCTAGCGGATTTAACTCTAATGGGTGGCAAATGGACCTAGTCCAGTGAAAGAAGCAACTGATTTTTGCTAGAATTGACCGTCTTCTTTGTGTATGCAGATTTCTTATTCTAGTAGGCAGGTCTAACATAGAAAGTGATGCAGAGACCAATTTCTGATCGTTTCCCTATTTGTCTTACTGTTGAGAGTATTGATTGAGGGCCTGCTTCATTCAGATTGGATGATGAATGGGTAAAAGTGGAGAGTTTCAGGAATCTGATTACTAATATGTGGAAGGAGACCAAGATTGAGAGGAAGGCTAGCTACAGGGTGGCTTATAAGCTGAAGCTGCTGAAGACTAAAATCAAGAGATGGACGAAGGAAGACGGGCTTAAAGAGGAAGAGAAGAGAAATAACATTCTTCTTGAGATTGTTGACCTAGACAGGAAGGAAGGAGAGGAGGGTTTATCGGTGGATGAGGTGACTTCGAGAGAGGGTCTGAGAGTTGAGGCAACATAGAGGTTGAGTATGGACGAGATCCACGAAGACAGAAGGCTAGACAAAGATGGATCAAAGATGGTGATAGAAATACCAAGTTCTTCCATTGTTTAGCTAGTCATATAAAAAGAAGTAATTTTATGGAGGAGTTGATGGTTGATGATCACTCTATTTCTACTAACCACAATATGAGGGAAGCGGCCCGTGCCAACCTTTACAGGGAAGAACTAAGGACAAGACCCAAGCTTGACAACTTACATTTCAAGGAGCTGGGGGATCTTGACCAAGTTTATCTTCAGAGGGAATTCACTGAAGAGGGAATTAGAAGCTGTCTCATGGAATGCAATGGTGACAAAGTTTCAGGTCTTGATGGATTCAACATGAGATTTTTATAGGAGTTTTGGCCCGTGGTAAAAGATGACTTCATTGAGATATTGGATGGTTTTCATAAAAATGGTTCATTTGTGAAATCTCTTAATGCTACATTCCTGGTGTTGATTGCCAAGAGAGATGGGCATTTGACACAAACACTACTTTTGCTATCATGATCAATGGGG